ATCACAGAATCACAGATTTTTTTTTTGACCTGGTGTCCACCAGAACCCCCAGGTCCTTTTCTGCCAAGCTGCTTTCCAGCTGGGTGGTCCCAGCATATGCTGGTGCCTGAGGTTGTTCTTGCCCAGGTTGTTGTAGTTTAACCTTTTAGACAGACAGTATCTCCCTTTGACAGCTTTGCAGGGAAATTACTTGCTTTTAGGAGGACATCTTTGCTGAGAACCTGAAATACAGGCATAAGCTAGATGCCTAAATTTGGCAGAGTGGATTCTATCATAAATAATACCTTCTAATATCTGTTACTAAGACACAGAAATTAGGAACTTAGAAAAGACCAACTGATACCATCTTTCCATGTTGGTAGAAGTTTGTTTCCTTTTGTTTGTTAGCACAAATTTTGTAAATGCTACCTTTAAACTCATAAACACAAAACCTGCTACTAGTACCATTTAGAGATTATTCTGTTATCGGAGTGTTTGTAAAACTCGTGTTTTTTTTCCCAGATAGTCACTCTACATTGTTTGTTTCTTAATTTTGTCCCTCCACTCCCTCTTACATTCTTCTGTATTATGAAAATTAATATTTCTCCCTTGCTAGTAGTTAGGCCCTGCAACTATTTATAGTTAATAATGATCACCTCTTGGTTGTTTCTTATTCAAGCCTTATACACAACTGACCTATGCAATCACTCCTCTCCAGGAGCTCTTTTAAATCATGACTATCGTCAGTGCTACCACCTTATGCCAGTTTCTCCAATGTTCAATAATATTCATATTACCCAGAAAGACTGGGGTTTGGGCAAAAAGAGGGGAAAGAGAGGGGAAGGCTGGCTAAGAAATCAAGTTGGGTGTTCTTACTCAATGCTCTTATTTTTCCAGCATCCTCTGGCCTGTTCTTCAGCACAAGATGCTTTATGCGCATGCTTACACAATGGCAAAACTTAGCCCTAAGTGTATGCAAAGTATATAAGGAAAAGAAAAGAATGCATCTCTTGGATCCCAAGGCGGAGCCCCACACGGGTGACATGACATTTTTGGGCAGAGGCAGAGCCAAGAGCAGCCCCCAGCTCCCCTGGAGCCTAGACCACGCTGCGCTGATGCAGCTCTTGGAGGAGGCAGCTGGCAGGGCATTATCTTGAGGGGAAGGTTCTCTGCTTTGGTCTAAAAGAGGCCAAATTCAACCACTTCTTTGGCAGGCTGCAACGCACTTCGACCACCCGGCCATAGAGAGTTGAAAATGAGGAAGATGCATAAAGATTGTTAACAGAGTGCAAGGGGGAAATTTCCCACTTTTTCTTCATCTTCTTGTTGAGATCCTAATAATGTTACTGGAGCTTAATTACAACAGCATGGGTATTTGATATTTGTATTACAAATTATGCCAAGGATATTTCAAAATGCATAGATAGATGTTCATTCTATTCTGTATAATGCCAACTATTTGTTATTTATTACTAGCAGCGTGTGATCCGTCATTAAATCATGTAATTTCCTTTCAGCTCTCCAGATCTTGCAAATGTATGCATCAGCTTTAAGTATATGAATAGTTTCATTGAGCTCAACAAGACAGCTTGTGTGCATAAAGCACAAAAACTACCATTTGCATCTAAATGAGGGCAAATTCAAATCTAAATGAGCGGAACAAATAAGTAACAACCAATAGTCACAGGTAAAATGAAGTACCCTGAAAACAAATTGCCATTCATTTACATTATTTCTGTCTAGGACTGTAAAGGATATTGCGTATTCTTGCCTGCCTATGAAAAGAGATATTTACAGACAGCTAATATTTATAAAGGAGTAAAATTCTGGTAAAAAAATAGTCCAGTATTTTTGAGCAAATTAAAAACCTTCCCTCCCCTCAGTGAACTGTAGAGAAAGTTGGCATCTAGCTCTTCTGAAAATTCTGTCCAAAAAGAACCAAACATATCAAATATCAACACAAATGAAAACATATTTACATTCATGACAATGTTCATGAATAATACGTAATAAAAAATTCCACCAACACAATCGGCTCAAAACATTGTTTGGAATTCAAACACATATTCACAAACCACTGCATTCAACTCATTCCAGGCAGCAGACTACGCTATGATTTTTCACACAATACTGAAGAAACATACAATTTCCTGGGGACAAATTTTCAGCAGAACTTCTAATCTACAACTGCAAAAAAGGCTGTGGAAATTATTTTTCATCTACAAAACCCCCTGTGTTTGAATAACCAGTGCAAGTCATTGTATTTGCAATTCCTCCTTGTATACACAAGTTAACATTTGTACATGCAAATAATAGTTTTGGTGGATGCAAACAGATGTGATTCTCATTTTTCTGCGTGCAATTAGAGAAGTCTGCTGAAAGCTTGACCCTGAAAAAAGCATAGGATCCTTTCCATGTTCAAATTTGAGCCATAAGTCATTGGATAAACTTAAAACACAGCCTGTCCTTTTATGCATCGTAATTTCTCCAAGCAATGTATTTACATTTTATGTGTGCTGTTGTAGAAGAGGGAGCCTTAATGATTACAATTTGCCATCCAGAACTTTATAGCTAGTCCTTGCAGAAAATAGCATTTCTGCCAAAAAGCTTCCTGCCCAGGTGCTTAACCAATTAGCTCTTAAGAGGTCTGGCAGTAAAACCAGTCATGGGAAGTTTTCTGATATACTGTATATAAGGTGACAGCTTGCAAAATGTAAGATGAAAATTTGTTTTCTTAACTAGCAGTGTGTAAAATCCTGGGAGACTCTTTGATTGCATAGCCTAAAATGCTTATGACATCTCAAATTCCCAATTGATCTAGTGTGGTTTTAGCAATATGTTGTCAACTTAAACATATTGTGTTTCTTTCTATAAATGCTTTAAAAATAATTTCCTTAATTGTGATTGGGTGCTGCAAACATATAGGAAGGATGGAGTAACCCCACAAGTTTGAGGTTTGGGGCCCTTTAATTTTTTCCAAACATTTTTGCTAACTCACAAAATACATGCAAGCTTTCAAAAGTGCCTTTTCTCCACAAATTACACCCACTTTTTATAATGGCATGTTAGATTAAAAACATATTTTTCACAAGGGGAGTACTTTGCAATGCAAAGAATAGAAGAAAACCATGAAAGATAAATATACCATAGTAAAACAAATGACTTCTCTGATTCTGGAAGCAAGAAGTTTGTATTATGTGGGGATGGCAGTGAAAGGATCAAAACTTACTACAGATAATCCTTGAAGTGGTAGCTGCATAACGACAAAGTGAGTCTGCCAAAGATGATATAGAGAACGTGCAAAAAAGCTTGGTATTGAACTGGAATACCCATGTGGATAGTCAATACTTCTCAGAAATTTCATTTTCGGAAGTGCCAGACCTGAGAGAAGACGGCCTTTGGCAGAAGCAGCACACGGCGCAGATAGCTTAATACAGGACTTAGTACTATAGAAGGGGATTTATTTCACTGTGCAGCCCTTGCATTTTCACAAGGTTTTGATACCTGAAACTCAACGTGCATGAGACTACCACGGTGAGGCCTCTGAAAGCTTGAATCATGGGATAGGCGAGTGTCCTGCATATGAGAACACACCCCCACGTGCAAGTAGGATGCAGGTAGGAGTAAGGATGATGGCACTGTAGCAGGAGGGAGTGCTGGAGCCCATGCTCATGTCAGGATGCTCAGTCCCGTTACCATAGCTCCATGGAGGTCTTCCTGCTGCAATCCCACTGCAAAACCTTCCCAGGACTGCTCTAGCCCTGTGCTGAGAGCCTGCCCTCACAGCAGACAGCAACAGTCCCACAATTATCTTCCTCCTGGATCGGGAGGTGGTCCACAGCATCCTGTAATGTTTTTGCTTTGCAGCATGAGCTCTGTGGTACCCTGGTCTCCCTTAGACATCTGTTAGCAGACTCTGTGAGCCATAAGCCTCGAAGGAAGTGCTGCGGGCTCTCCAAAGATGGCATTCTAGCCTCCAGTGGGTTTTCATGAAAACTTGCTCCCTCTGGCCTGTGTGGTAAAAGGCAGGGTCTGCCAGCCCATGTGCAGCCGGGTTTCAGGAAGAACCTCTGGCATGGAGTCTGCTCAGATGAAAAGTTGATGTGTGTAACTAAGCCTTGTGTGAAAATAAGATTTCCCACTGCATGTGTTATACTGTGATTTCCTTTAAACTTCAAGGTGCTTTTTTGTTCCATACTAATCAAATGGGTGTCTGATCATTTTGCAGAAGGAAAATGAAGTAGAAAAACATGATATGAATCCTGATAAACATCTGAGTAAGGAGTCAGAAATTCAGATTTCCCAGAAGGCTGAAATGGACACTCTGGAAAGCCTCAGGAATTATGGCAATAGGGCATTTCCTTCTGTACTAACCCTGGCAGTACCAGATGCTATTCAAGAAGATGAGATCACAATTACACTGGAAAACCAAGAAAACTTCCCAGAAGGTACTGTTCTGAAATACAGTCTTGGCATCTTAGTCTGAAAGGGTACTAGGAAATCTGTCTGGGAACTAAAGGGAACACGATTCCTGAAAATGCTATAGAAATATCCTTCCACTTTGTTTTGAAATTACAAGTACTTTGAGCAATTGTTTCCCAGCCCAAGTTTGGTGATTGATTTAACGTTGATCAGGTGAAAAAATTAGCAGGTGAACACCTGATCCAGTTTATACTCTGCAGGTATTGATTACAAATAACTGTTCCATGTCATTGTGCAGGTTAGTTCCCCTATGAGTCACCTTGGGATGCTACTAGTACTGCTAAGGCACTTCCAAGAACAGACATTTATGAGTAAAAAACGGAAATTATTTACATTCCCAGGATGAGTGTGAGCACGATGCAAGTGTCACAACTTCGCTTATACTCAAGAAGGGGTTGCACTTACATCCATGGCACCATTTTCCATAGTCTCAAAAATATAGAAGATGCACAGTACTGGATAATCAAACTCCAGATCTGAATTTAGCCTTATTTCTGCTCCAGTTATTGCGCGCCCACAGCTATTCACATATGTGGCATGGTTAAATTAATGTGATATATAGCCCCAGAAGCATAAATGAATAATAGTCACTAAAATTAAGCCAGGCAACTTTACGCTGAGATGCTCATTTAAGACAGTTCACCCAACCAAAAAATTGCTGATTGCCTGCCTCCAGATCACCATTTGCTTTAAATCCTTGGTGCAAAATTTCATTCTATGTCAAGATCTACTTTTATTTATGCCTTTACAAGTACTGACATTTTTATTATGGGATGAAGCTGTTTTGATATTAACATGTTATTTTTCTTGGAAATACCATTCCAGCAGAATCTGATCTGATTTATTCTATATTCTATTTAGTTTCCAAGTTTGCAGGCAGAGAGTTGGTCCGCCTTGGACCCCCCAAATCATCAAGCAAAAGTATGCCATGTGAGCCCATGTATCAGCCACTTTTGGACTTTCTGGAGAATCTGAATGATTTTGAAGACTTGACTGAAGCCGGAAAACCATCTCTTCATGAGAAATCGCCATCCACACCAGCAAATAACCAACCTCCCTCTTCAAATGTCCAAGCAATGACATGTACGAGCAAAGCGCCTCCCCGGTCCCTAATAGAAAACAGAATTATTACCAGGAGTCCTTTGCCTCATCAGGACATGAGGTTTAAAGACCTTCTGAAGGCAGTAGATGACAATATTTACATCCCAACATGGTGGCACCTTGACAAAGAGGGCACTGGTCTCCTCATGATTGACTCCCCCCAGCTGTCACCTTTCCCCAGGCTGCGACAAGCTGCCCTGAGAGAAACCCCAGCTAGGAAGATTTCCTGGCTGGGGGCATCACAGCAACATACAAATATCTGCCCTCTGGTTTCAGTCAATGGTTCAAAACCACCCGCCTTCCCCATGTCCCAACAGCAAATGTTTACCATAAGAAGTATGAGGCAGCCTAAAGAAAACCCAACTCATTTTTTCAACAAGAGAACTAAGAAAAACTTTATCCAACTCAGACACATACCTAAAACTACAGATCTAAATCTTCCAGTTTTATCTCCAGCGTACCAAACCAGGTTGGGGAAAAAAGCAGAGATTCTAAGGTTAAATTTTGCATAAATAAAACACCCAGCATCAGAAGAAAATAGGACGAAGGGGCACGAAAGAAACAAAGACGGACAGAAACAGAGAGTGAGAAAAGGAAGCCAGCAGAGATTAATCCAATCTTAAAACGAGACACCTCCAAACACAAAGAAGAATTATATGATTTAAGCTGTGTATCCTCTGATATCCATCAAACATTGGGCTACAAATTTTGCGGAGCGCATCGAAGACGCAGAAAAAGAGATGCCACTGTAACAAAACAACATCAAGCGTATTTAAGCAAAAAAGTGGACCCTGTGGGCAGAAGATATGATTTTAAATATCTTGTATCAATACATGTACTGTCCCAAACTTGTGTCACTTGTATTTATGCATTTCATTCAGGAAATAAACCTGGCCAGGCAATTTTCATTAAGCTGTGAACATACTGCAGAAGGTAAACAAACAGTAACAATGATGGAATAATCGATTTTTGGGGATTGTCACAATAAACAAAATAGTCATGGCACTGATCTTTTCTTTATTTATTTATTAGTTTTAACTATGTGTATTCTAAGTAATGGAGACCATGCAACCTAACTCCCCTGAAAGGAGCAAATCAACACATTTTCCTTGTAAATTTAACAGCTTAATTAGGACTGCCTATTTGTAACTGTGTGCCTTTGTAATGTTTGTCTCTTACTATTGAAAACATGCATTTGCTTTCAGTTTCAATGATTTATGCTTCTTAGCTAGATTTTCATAGTACTAAGCTTTGAGCCTGATTCTGTCTTCAAATCAGTTTTATATCAGTTTAAATCCCTTAACTTCAATAGATTTGAACTTGATTGACTCCAACAGGGGCGAGAATACAATGGGAGTCTTCATATTTGCCGCTCTGTAAGCTCACATGTAGAAGTAAAAGATGCGCAAAGGGTTTCTAAGTAATACTAGATAGTTATACAAAGAATAGCAGCAAGAAAAAGCCGCAGCAGTAGTCGGCATAATCCTATGAGCTAAAACCAAGGCTTTTATCTGACAAGCACGTGGTAAGCACCTGGTCACACTGAGTGGGACCAAACCTGCGTCCCGTTTTACTCTGCCTTGCCTTCCCCCACCGCGCTGGGACCACATCCACGGGGTGAGCTCTTCATGGTCCACGCAGGTCCTGCACAAGCGTGCCGCGCCGCCTCAGTGAGGGCAGCTTACGCAGACCTGTGCGGGTGCCAGCCACTCTGCCACCTCCTCGGCTGGGCTGAAACAGCTATTGCGGAGCCCTGCTCTCAGCCAGCCCTGAAACAACCTCTGAATAACAGAGCTGTTTTTAACTCAGTACATCTTTGCTGACCAGGCTTACGGGGCAAGTCCCACAGCTGCAGCTGAAGAGCTGGAGAGGAAGGCTGGGGCGCGTGCGCAGGAATTTATTACGCCAGCTTCGCCACCGAAGAAAACATTCTGTGTAACTTTATCCTGTGAGCGTGTGGCTGCAAGTCAGACATGCCACCTGGGACTGCAGCTGAGCTAGGTGGAAAGGCTAGTACCTCTGCCCATTGCTTTTCTTCAAAGCTTAAAGTCTCCTCAGAGCATAACAGCACACATAGTCACTCCAAAATCTAGTTGGTCAGAACGATCCAGATTGGAAAGAAACTATTAAAAATGCTTGGTGGCCCCAGCACAATTTGGCAGAACGCGGCCAGGAAGCAGATACACGTGTGGCATCCCCCTCCGCTCAGAGGGGAAGGAAGGACCACTGGTCTCTGGACAGGGGCAAGGAAGCTCAAACCCAGCAGTTTCCCTTATGCACACCCAAGCTAATGAGTAGCACAGGGGCCATTTGCTGTGTTTATAACTCTGGCGCCATGCAATTCAGAACCTAGAGATAGCTGAGTGGTTTCCAGAGTGATTTCCAGATAATGTTTTTCTCTGAAAATCTTATTTCCTTAGAATTTAGAAAATGTTTATGTCTCAAAAACATTTTTAGCTTTGAATTGCCCTTACAAAACACTTTTTGTTTGAATATACAGTTTGAAACAAATGGTTTCAGCTGTAAGTTGACATTTCAATTTACTGTTTCCTTTCACAATACTGAAATGCTTCATTCTCACCATAAATGTCTAAAAGCTTTTCCTCCACATCATTTCTTCCCGAGAAAAATTCCTTTCTTTGACACTTTTTAATATTTTGTCTTTATACTCTAATTCCAGATGACAGTAACATCAAAATGCTCTAACTTTTTTCACCGAGTCGAAACTCCATTTTCCAAACAGCTCTACCACCATCTTCCAGCTCCTCCACGAGCCCTTGGAGAGAGGAGAGCAAGAGGAGCTTATGCTTCTCCTTTACCAACTCAGTGCAGGCATGTCTATGTAGGTGCCAAGCAGACGACAGCCGCAGGAGAATACCCGTTCCCCACTAAAACAAAGCCTGGAAAGATCAGTGTTAAGTGACTGTGCACCATGACCCAAGTGCAGAAGAGGCCACTCTTCCTGCAGGAGCTCTGAATTGTGGTGCCTTCACCCCCCTGTGGCCTCAGCAGCCTCCAGCCCAGCCTCTGCTCTGGCTGCAGCAGAGAACGGGGGTTTCCAAAGGGTGAGACACTTATCAGTGGTTGGAGAAAACATCAAGTCTTTGCAGGGTCCCTGCCACCTGCCTATTCTTTCCATCTTCAAGGTCATATGGTTTCTTATTTCTAGGAGTGGTTTACTAAAAAGCAGGGGAATATCCCTTCTTCTGCCCTGTTTGGCACTTTAAAGGTCACAGTGCTGAAATAAATGTTTCTCCAACATGCCACAGCTGAGTATTGCTTTATAGATGTCATGTAGAGAGAAAAGAGATTTTCTAGCTACATTTCCCATACACTCATTTAAGGGCTAGCTTCAACCTGGCCTTCTCCCAAGCTGTTCCAACACCACTGAAACATATATCTGCTGCTAGCACAGAGCGGCCGTGTCTGAGCAGGAACTCTCATCTACCACATATATTAACACTTTGAAATAAAAGCCATCTCATTCCTGAAGGGGAGAAGGGAGGAGTGCAGTTAACGGGTCAATGCCATAAACGCGGGTCCCGGATCACGCGCTGAGCTGGGAAGGGGCAGGGAGCACAGTGCAGTATAGACGATAACGTAGCACATGATGATGGAAACACCTCCAGGCAGCCAGACTGCATGGGTGGCCCAGGCAGGGAGATGGTGCCAATATTTTAACAAGTGGCTCCCACAAAAACGTTTTTCTTCAGCAGGTGATAAATTTACGCTTCGGGGATGTGATGTCTGCAGAAAGACAGTGAAGGGCTCTGGAATCTGCCCTTTTATTTAACAATGTAAAGGAAAAAATACACTTCTAAGGAAGGGGACATCGCTGCTTGGCAAGAAAATGTACATTAAGACGCAGTTGGCCAGAAATGCACTGAGTCATGCAGAGTAGTGTTTGACCAGTGCGATTCATGTGGGGGGAGAGGAGGGAGCTGAATGCCTTGCACAGGAGTCCCACAGCATCCTACTTCAGGAAGGGTTATTGAAAATACCTAAGTCTGAGTAGAGACTTGTTACAACCCTGATAAAAAGCCAATGCTAATAACATGCAAGGCAAGGTGAAGTGGGACGGCAAGGCGAAGTGGGACGGCAAGGCTTTCACACCTCCTTTCTCGCATCTGGCAGCAGAAACGTAACAACAGGCTCCTAAAGAGGCAGCTTCCGAAGGAGCTTTTAGCTACTTCATTACATCTATAGCAGTCCCTTGTACAAACAAACTTCACATAGAGTCTCTGCTTGGACTAACACTGGATCTTTAGGACCTTCAAGTCAGTCTCTATAAGTGGATCCTGCTATTTGCACGGTCTGTCAATGCAATCACGAGAGATTCCCAGCCCTCCATTTCATACGTTTTCCATTTACACATAGGAAATGGCACCTTTTACTACTATCCTGTTTCTGTGCCATATTAATAAGTTCAACTGCTTTATGTATTACCAGTTTGAACACTGTTCTGCTTTTCAAATCACAACTGTTTTCATGTCAGCAAAAGAATTTCAAACCACAGGAAATTCTGGGGATGAAGTACAAATATATACTTAGAAAGAGCTATCAGGAAGCAGAGTCAAACCTACAGTTGGAAAAATATGAAAAAAGTCACTGCTTTCATACTGCACTTTTAATTTCATCATTTTTTAAACACATAAATGAACAAGATTAATAATTTAGCCAGTAAAGGAATTTCTGTTTAGCCTCTGAAAAATCCCTGAATAATTCAGAAGTTCTGACATTAGATAGCCTTTGTCATGCTGACCCATCCACCCTGGGTAAAACGCTGAAGAGAGATCGAAGTGTCTGACCCATTCTCTCACAGCCCTCTCACATTACAGCTTATGAACAACAAAACTCCACAAATCAGAAGCTCACAAAAACAGAGAAAGCAGCTCATGTTCACCTGTTGTCTGTGCCAGCAAGATGATGAGAAAGGGCAAACAGGAGCATTTTGCTCATCCCTTATAAACATGGTGCTAAAACTACAACACCTGATTTGCAGTCCAAGGAAATTCACTCCTTCGACTTCCCTGGGCTCTAATGATAAGGTATTAAGAAATTCAGAAGATATTACTCATACAAAAGCCATCTTAAAAGAAATCAGTGTTTGTCAAACTGAAAGTGAGCCTGAGAAATATATAAACACTTTTTTTCTTCTATAAAGCAGCACTTACAATTTTTATGTTCCTTATATGTAACATACATTTGCCTTACCCATACATCTGAAATTAAAATCTTTCAGTATCATAACAATAATGAACTATTCCCTTCCTCTCTTTCACCACTTTTTTCATTTCTGGTCATTGTTTTGGGTTACAGATTATATAGACGGATTCTACAGAAAAATGTAAGGTAGTGAACTTAAGAAACAGTCTTCTTAAGAATAACTATTTGATATTTCTGCTAGGATTCCTGGCATAAAACATTCCAGCATGAGAATCAGCAGGGACCTTCCTACCAAGTCCACCATCTTCCTGGCTGTAGTGTTTGGGCTCCAGTCCCTTATACACACATATTTTGTGGCTAATCCGTTAGAGAGAAAGCGAGAGGAGGCTTTCAGGAAAGAGCTATTTCCAGCTAGGAAGGAGCTATCATAGAGGTTAAGACCTCTACCACCACTCAGGACAGCGTGCAGAGGGGCAAAGGGAACAAATAGAGCTAAACGCCATGAGGCATACTCAGGTGAGATTTTGAGGACCAATAGGACCTTGCAGTGGGATGTTGCTTACCCAGCCTTAAACAGAGGTGATATCTCTGACTAAGCTGGTTGTCTAGACTCCTTTGTAGTCAATGCAGAATATGGACACCTGGAAAAGAGGGAGAATAAATTAGTTCTGGAGGCCCTTGAACAGACTCTTCAAAGTCTACCCAGCTGCACTGCCATAAGGACGACTTGATCCAATATTTTGGGCTTTGAGTTTCCTCAGACGGGAATAAGAACAGAGCGTCCGTCTCATCTCATGAACGTTATAGCCAGCAGGACTCTTTCCTGACCTCCACAGGAGCACAATGGTAAGATTTTTAAGTCCTTATCTGGAGCATATATCAAAGGCATATATCAAACTAATCAGCTGTTTCTAGGCAGGCAGATATTTTACTTGGGACATCTGTATTTAGTAACTGTAATAGCTTTTTGAGGCCAGCAAGAAGACTGAAAGTCACTTTTTACAAATCCTTTCTTAGAAAGCAAGTCCTCTGTAAAGCAGAAAGCGAGTATTCCCCTATTTAGACAAAAGAAGGATTTACATATCAAGCTGATCCATTGCAGCAGCTCAAGCAGGCAATGAAAAGCATTAGGGACTATGTTACACAGGTCTTTTCTATGTTAATTGATACTTAACTCACATCAGCAGTTTCTACAGTATACTTCAATGGGACCA